CTACCGTGGCCATCATCATCATCACCGCGATATACACCAACACCTCGTCCATCTTCACCAACATCTCCATCACCTTCCCCCCTCTATCTACAGCGGTCCACTCTCCCGCAACCCGATGTACCCTCTACTTGAACATGGTGCTTTATGCTTCATATTGTTATCCAATGATGTGTTGCCATCCTATGATGTCTGAGTAGATTTTCATTGTCCTATCGATGGTTGAAGAATTGCTATGATTGATTTAATTTTCTTGTGGTTATGTTGCTGTCCTTTGGTGCCCATCATATGATTGCACGCGTGGATCACACCCTAGGGTTAGTTGTATGTTGATAGGACTATGTATTGGAGGGCAAGAGTGACAGAAGCTTCAACCTAGCATAGAAATTGATGCATACAGGATTGAAGGGGGACCAATATATCTTAATGCTATGGTTGGGTTTTACCTTAATGAACGTTAGTAGTTGCGGATGCTTGCTAATAGTTCCAATCATAAGTGCATAGAATTCCAAGTCAGGGATGGCATGCTAGCAGTGGCCTCTCCCACATAATACTTGCTATCGGTCTAGTAAAGCTCCTACCACCACTTTTCCACACTTTCTATATTTACTTTATTGTTTCTTTATCTAAACAACCCCTATTTTTTATTTACATACTCTTTATTATCTTGCAAACCTATCCAACAACACCTACAAAGTACTTCTAGTTTCATACTTGTTCTAGGTAAAGCGAACGTCAAGCATGTGTAGAGTTGTATCGGTGGTTGATAGAACTTGAGGGAATATTTGTTCCACCTTTAGCTCCTCGTTGGGTTCGACACTCTTACTTATCGAAAACTGTTGCGATCCCCTATACTTGTGGGTTATCACGGGACGAGGGAGGCGCAGCTGGCGGTGTAGCGGGGGGAGGGGGCATGACGTCCGCGGAGTGCGAGCCGGTGCAGGGAGCAACACGACCACAGGTCCACCTCCATGCCCCGTGGACATGGGGGCCACCTTGATTGCTGTCGCCGGGGCCATCATCGAGAGGGACAGAGAGCTCCTCAAAGATGCCCCAGGTCTTGATATGGCGCAGCTTGACGTCGATGATCTGGCTAGGAGGAAGGCGGGGGATGCAGCCATCGGGAGTGTCGTTGTCGCTTTCGACACGAACGAACGCACGCACCGCCGTGAAGTCACCGGTAGTGAGAGAGTTTTGGTCGACGCAGCAGAGCACGCCAAAGTGGCCGAACACAAAATTCGCCCCCTGAGGGTGCCACAACTCAAGAGGGAAGTTCTTGGACTCGATCTTTACCAGCCGGTCGTAGTGAGTGGTGGTGCAGTTGTCAGTTTCTTCAGGTGGAGGAGAGTGATGGTGATGAAGGAAATATGCCCTAGAGGCAATAATAAAGTTGTTATTTATATTTCCTTATATCATGATAAATGATTATTATTCATGCTAGAATTGTATTAACCGAAAACTTAGTACATGTGTGAATACATAGACAAAATAGAGTGTCCCTAGTATGCCTCTAATTGACTAGCTCGTTAATCAAAGATGGTTAAGTTTCCTGACCATAGACATGTGTTGTCATTTGATGAACGAGATCACATCATTAGAGAATGATGTGATGGACAAGACCCATCCGTTAGCTTAGCATAAATGATTGTTTAGTTTATTGCTATTGCTTTCATCATGACTTATACATGTTCCTCTGACTATGAGATTATGCAACTCCCAAATACCGGAGGAACACCTTGTGTGCTATCAAATGTCACAACATAACTGGGTGATTATAAAGATGCTCTACAGGTGTCTCCGATGGTGTTTGTTGAGTTGGCATAGATCGAGATTATGATTTGTCACTCCGATTGTCGGAGAGGTATCTCTGGGCCCTCTCGGTAATGCACATCACTATAAGCCTTGCAAGCAATGTGAATAATGAGTTAGTTGCGGGATATTGCATTACGGAACGAATAAAGAGACTTGCCGGTAATGAGATTGAACTAGGTATGATGATACCGACGATCGAATCTCGGGCAAGTAACATACCGATGACAAAGGGAACAACGTATGTTGTTATGCGGTTTGACCGATAAAGATCTTCATAGAATATGTAGGAGCCAATATGAGCATCCAGGTTCCGCTATTGGTTATTGACCGGGGATGTGTCTTGGTCATGTCTACATAGTTTTCAAACCCGTAGGGTCCGCACGCTTAACATTCGGTGACGATCGGTATTATGAGTTTATGTGTTTTTCATGTACCGAAGATAGTTCGGAGTCCCGGATATGATCACGAACATGACGAGGAGTCCCGAAATGGTCGAGACATAAATATTGATATATTGGATGACTATATTCGGACACCGGATGAGTTCCGGGGGTCACCGAATAATTATCGGAGTGCCGGGGGGGTTATTGAAACCCCCGGGGGAACTAATGGGCCACATGGGCCTTAGTGAAGAGAGAGAGAGGGCCGGCCAAGGCACGGCCGCATGCCCCCTCCCCTCTAGTCCTAATTGGACCAGGGAAGGGGGGCGGCGCCCCCCTTTCCTTCTCTTTTCTCCCTCTCCTTCCTTTCCCCTTCCTCCTCCTAGTTGGACTAGGAAAGGGGAGTCCTACTCCTACTAGGAGGAGGACTCCTCCTCTCCTGGCGCGCCCCAAGGGCCGACCGGACTCCCCCTTGCTCCTTTATATACGGGGGCAGGGGGCACCCTAGAACACACAAGTTGATCATTGATCCCTTAGCCGTGTGCGGTGCCCCCCTCCACCATAATCCACCTCGGTCATATCATCGTAGTGCTTAGGCGAAGCACTGTGACGGTAGCATCATCATCACCGTCATCACGCCGTCGTGCTGACGAAGCTCTCCCTCGACACTCAGCTGGATCGAGAGTTCGTGGGACGTCACCGAGCCGAACGTGTGCATATCGCGGAGGTGTCGTACTATCGGTACTAGGATCGGTCGGATCGTGAAGACGTACGACTACATCAACTCCCGAATACCTAGGACGTGGGGGTTCGAGTGGAGGAGGGGACATGTCATGGCAGCGGCGCTCGTCGTCTCGCGCGTGCCCGGCATGGACATTGCCGCAACAACAGCGCTGTCCTGGCTTTGGTTAAACAAACGAAGTAGCTGCTGGGCAATAGGAGGGGGAGGCAGCAAGGGCATGCTACCCAGGATCGAACAGGAGCGATCGTCACAAGTCATGGGCGAGGTAGGGACGCCCGTTTCCTTGGCAGCCAAGGTTGGTCGAGGGGTTGGACCCGAAAACGGGACCGAGGCAGACTGGGCCTCAGGAAAAGAGGAGGTGAGGACTAGTGTAATACCAGGGGGAGAGACAGGCGACCGTTGAGTGATTTCATTCAAAATGTCCCAGAGGAAACAAGAGTGAGGAAGAGGTTAGCCTGGAAGCGAAGGACGACAAAGCTAGCACTACCCGAGAAGAAATGATCCAGGGTCGATTTAACAATGCATGCACTTGGTTTAGCTACTGCTGAAAAAAACTTATCCAAAGGAGAGCATGAGTTGTAGGGTTTGAAGTGGTGTAAGGAGGAGGAACCACAGGTAACTTAGAACTACGCAGGATATGGGAACGAAACTTAAACCCGTATCGTAATTGACGAACCTTAACCGAAGGCCGAGACGAGTCGGTCATCACTCGATGCAGCCGGATCGCCTTGGCCGCCAGGGGCACCGGAGGAGCGATGCTTGCCGAGGCGCAGGAGGCTTGTTCGGGCATCGAGAAGCGAATATCCATCCCAGGCCTTCAGAGATCGCCAAACGAGATGAGGAGGTCACCCACACCTCGGTTGGCAACCGAGAAGGAGAATTCGTCGACAGCAGCGGGGGCGGAGTGAAACTGCAGAGGATCACCGCCAAACATGCAGTGAAGGATGAGATCACAGAGAATAGGCGAGAGAGGGAGGGGGAACTAGAGGAAGCTGACTAGTAGCCGGCAAGCTGAAGCCGAAGGGGCCGAGGGGACGGTAACAAAGGACTTGAGGCGAGTCCAGGCGGCATTCTCAAACTTGAGGCCTGTGGCATGATGCAGGAGGAGCAGATCCGAGAGAGATCTGCAGGAAGGAGCAGCAGTCAAAGTCGGCGAGGGTGGCAGTGGTGAAGAGACCGGGAGGAAGCGGAAAGAGAAAAGGCGGTGGTGGATGGAACGGAGACGAAGGAGGTTTGACGCAAACCTGGCCTGCGGGACTGAGAAGAGGAAGGTCTGGTCTTGAAGATAGCGCACGTTGAAGCAGCACGCAACCCCTCCAATGAAGGCCTGGAGAAGAGCTCCGGCGAGCAGTTCATCGAACCAGAGCTTAGGGGAAGAGATGGCGAGACAAAGAAGGTGATCTGAGGTTCAAAGCAGGAGGCGGGCAGGCGTGTAAGGTGGGCGAGATTGACCTCGTCACCAAGGCCCAGGAAGAGGCGCAGAGACGCATGAGCCAGGTCGGCGTACCGTGGCGAGTGGGAAGCGGAGGCCGCCAGCAGGGGAGCGGGCGGCGCTGCGGGCAAGGGAGCGGACGGCGGGGAGGGGAGGGGGGAGGAGGAGCCATCTCCTGCCGATAATGCTCCCGATTCCTCAGCCATCATGTTGTAGTTTGTTCATTACGCCTCCACTCAACAGCACAAACAAAGATCTTTTACGGCTAAACAGCTCCTGACTGTCCCCCGCAAAAAAAAACTATTGACTGCAAAGAGAAAAAAAAGAGCTCTTGACCGCAGCCGACTGCCGCACTCAACGGGGCCAATCATCCGGCAAATGCCCATGCCACCAATCACACACACGCGCCCCACACTCACCCCACCATCCGATCGGCCACGCCCCCCAGGCACCGTACGGCGCCCGACGCGGCCAGTTCCCCAGCACCACCCGCGAAGCTCCCCGCCCCGCTGCCAGAACGGCCAATAAATAGGACGACGCACACGCCCGCATCCCATCGCCACCACCACGCGCACGCGCACACGGCCACCGTTAGTCTTCCAGCCAGCCGGCATCCTCCGAGCTAGACGGGATCGCCATGGCCGCGGCGGGCAAGTCCAAGGAGGCGGACGCGGCGCGGTGCAGGAGGCACCCGAGCCACCGGCACGCGGCCGGCGTCTGCCCCTTCTGCCTCAGCGACCGCCTCTCGCGCCTCTCCGCCGCCGCGTCTGCCGCCGCCTCCGAGCCGTCGTCGGCGTCCTCGTCCGGGGCGGCGAGCGTCGCGTCGGCCCAGACGGCGCCGCCCTGCCGCGAGGCGCGCCGGGCGAGGCTGGGGATGCTGATGCGGCAGGACGTGCCGGAGGCGGCCGCGGGCGGTCACCACGGCAAGAAGGAGGTTGGGACTGCGCCAGCCGAGGAGAAGAAGCCGGCGAAGAGGGGCAACTTCTGGACCCGGCTGCAGCAGGCGAGCTGGTACAGGAGGGACGGCTGCTCGGTGGCGTCCGTGAAGAAGGGCGCCGCCGCCGCGCCGCCGCACAAGCGGGCGGCGTCGCTGTTCTGAACCTCCGGCGAGCGGGAGGCCGCGCGGCCAGTCGGTTGAGCGACATTTGCTCGGTTGGTTGGTTGGTTTCTGGTTCTGGGTCGTGTGCTGTGCTGTTCCGGAGCGGAGCCTACGTGGCCGGATGGATGGATGGATGGATCACCTGCTCTGCTCGTCTAATCCGGCGTCTTTCTCGCTGTTTCTTTCGGGTTTGGTGCGCGGTTGTTGGAAGAGTACTAGTCTTGGTGGATGGAATGAAGGACAGCCTAATGGCTCGTCCATTTTTGTACAGCACAGATCATCGGTCTCCAATGAAAGAGCTTGCGTTCGACTCGATCGCGTTGTTCGTTTGTTTGTTCGTTTCCCCGTCGCCATCGAACTGGTGGATGTTTCCTTGTCGTGCTGGCGAGATTCACTAGCTCCGTAGGTTGCATCTGACAGCTGAGCCTGTCAACATTGTACAGTTTTTTTGACCCGAACATTGTACAGCTGGAATAAGCGTGTTGGTTTTGCTTCAGAGGCAGGCAAATAGGAAGCAAAAACGATGAACACCTTTTCGCAAAAAAAGAAAGAAATAAAAGATGAGCACCTAGTAGAGCTCCGAAACATCAAAAGTGTTTGCAACTGACCTGTTTTCTTGAACACCAGGGACGAGCCTTCGCCATTTTGGGACCATCACAGAACTGGTTTCAATTTGATGTTTACATCCTTCGCCATTTGACGCGAATTTGTGACCTATGTACACATTCTACCCCTTCGTTTTCTCTTCGGGGATCCTATACCGTACAAAGGTTTTTCTATACCTTCTATACCATTTCCGAGGGACTATACATTCTGTACCTCCCTTTCATACTCTAACTTTGGACATGTCACAGTTCCAAAAAAAAGGAAAAACTTTGGACATGTCAAACCACCTCATCGATCATCGAATCGCTCGATCCGTTTCGAGGGCGCTGTCATCCTCGTCAAGGTACTCCACATCCGCCCGTGGGTTGCTCGAGTGACGTTTCAACCCCCGGAAGATCTCGTCCAGCGAGTCCGACGTCGACGAGCTCGTGCGCGACAGGCTCGAAGGAAGCAGCCTCTTGGCACTCATGCTCGATTTGAAGCTCCGAAACCCCGCCTTCATCGACGCCCATCTCGACGCGGTTCCAGCTGATAAATCTGGCACCACACTAACAGGAGGAGATGGGTTTTCAGAGTCCCCTGCTTCGAGCAGAACAGAGGTGGAAGTGGAACGGGTTTCCTCTTTCACTTGTTTAACTGACTTTTGACTGCTGGGCTGTTCTGTGATGGAGGAGTATTTGTGGTCAGCGTTGACACCATATTTTGACTGGGCTCCTCCTTCCCTTTTGGGAGAATGTGGAGCTGCTTTTATCACCACCAACTTTTCTACACCCTGTGGAGAACAGATAGATAGAAGTATGAAATGAGAGTGAGGTCTCCAAGCACCCTAAGAATTAACAATCATGGTGGACAAGCAGACGCCCAGAGAAAAAAATTCACACCTGTAGCATGGTTCCAGATTCAACGTCTTCGCTAACGGAACTGAAGTTTCTTGCCAATGGAGTGACCTGCTCGCCGAGTTTGCGCGCTTGCTCGATCCAAGATCTTTCTGCAGATGAAACACATCATATTCAGGCAGGCAATACCATCTGATAGGAAAAGCTAAGCTAGTGACTGAGCAGCAACAAGCTTGACTGAGAAAAAATGATTGATTAAAGGTTCGACCAGTCAAACGGGAAACACCAGATTATTTATGCTGCTCCCCTTCTCGAAAAAAAACATATATTTGTTGCTACCAGTTCAGTTAAAAAATTATTTGCAGAAGGAATACCGTACTGAAATCGTGTAAGATCAAGCGGTATGACAAAAAAAAAACAAGCATGTGTGGACTGTGGAGTGAAAGAAAAGATATCCGTCAAGATACATGAGCAGCGACTTACCTTTCTGCAGAATCATCACTCCAGATGGATCAAATCCGTTTGTATCCTCTTCTTCCTCGGTCCAGAATTTGAACCTTTTCCAGCTTCCAAATATTTCGAACAGATAGCCGAAGAAATTGCCCGCGACCAGTATAGTATAAACAACCATAATGAGTGGATATATTCTGTTGAAGTTTCTCCCAAAGAAAGGAACTGCATCATCAATGCTCCCCATCCTCTGCATAATAGCACAAGAGATTATTTATCCAGCAGTTAACTAGGGCTTATCTAGCAGGTAAACAGTAAGCATGTAGAATAGGAAGCAGCTGAACTTTTGCATCAAAAATGAACCAACACTGTGTTATCACCTAGACACAAGAATATCAGAACTACTTGCTGCACATTATTAAGGTAAACAGTAGCCAATCCTCTTTTTTCTTCCCATGAGCAAATTTTGTAGTAGAATGAAAGCTAATGGAACTATGGGAGTACTGTTGAATGGAAAGTCTGGGTATGATTTGCGCTATAGCAGGTGATTTTTTTTGTGCTACTCATTTGTACTGAGCTCAGATTTGTGCCATAGGTGGAATTTGTCAGAAACAGCTGCATGTCCCTGTAACTTTCTTGGTTAGAATTCCCTTTTTCTCCAACAAAATGGAAAACAATAGAAGACTATCGCTGCTTTTGTATTCCCTACATATCGACAAAACCTATTCATGAGGAGGATTGCTTAAAATCTACAAATTCATGAGGAGGAGTACAAAAGAGTGGTAACAAGCAATGCAGAAAAGGAGCATATCAAAAACTATTACCTTCTCAAAAGTAGTTCTAACATCACCACCAAGATGAACGAGGTTCAGAAAGTTGTAAGAAATAGCAGGTGCGTATCTTGCAACCATTCTGAAAAAACACATTTGATGCAAAACTCAGGACAGTGTGCAAAAAAGGTTGGATTGACGCCCTTGAAACATCAAATAGTAGGAAACCGGAAGACTTACGAGCAGATCATAAGCAGGCTGACAGAGCTAGTTTGTCCTGGAGTCAGTGAATAGACCACCATCATCCCTATCCTAAAGAGCGGATAATATGTGCAAATGCACATGTACATCAGTGGAGCAAATGCAACAACCTGTTAAGTGGTATTAGCAGGCAAAGCGTTAAAATTAGTATTTCAAAGGTCATTTCTTTCATGATGAATGTACAAGCAAGTAAAGGTATATGCATGTGACTAAACAGTCTTGCAAAAGAAGTATGTTTACACCACAGACTTTTTAAATGTGGTCATTGCGTGTTTTTTCTTCCAAATTAATGGCAAGTGCACCTTCTACAGAATTGATTTTTTTCTGTATATGTACAGCTATAAGAATAGAAATAAAGTGGTGATTATCGGTGATCATAGATAACAAACTTCCCATAAGTTGGCTGCAAGCTGGAGGAAATATTTCAGATTCTACTTCAAACACAAGGCAATGCTACACACTTAAATTAATTAATTTCTTACCTGGACTAAAATTTCTTGCTTTCCTGCAGCATTTATAAGAACAGAAAAAAGTGACAAATGGACACCAGTTGGCAGCAAAGTGGCCTCAGCCAACAATATGGCAGCTGAGATGCAACCAAGGAGAACAGAAAGAACTTTCAGGAGTCGGTTTAACAGTATACAGCGCCAAATGAACTCTGAAAATGTGAAGGTGTTCGCAAGTCAGTTCCATGAATTTAGGACAGGCCAGGGAGATTAACATAAAATTGTTGGTGTGTAGGAAAGCTCTGTAAAAGATCCATTGGTATTGGGCCTATGCTAACTTGCGTGAGCGGTTCAAGCTTTATTATGCGGAATCTACATGCTAGTGGGATTTTCTTGGTGCAATCTGTGTATGCGGCTCTAGTCAATTCCCACTTCCACTTCCATCGCGAACAAATTTGAAAATTTGAACTCCCTCTGAAAATTTAAATATTCTTGTGGTACTTGAGTGGGGTAGTCATAATAATAAACAGCAACTTGGATTGGTAGTAATTTATTTTATCAGGAGGAAGATTATATTCAACACCTCTTCTTTGATTGCCCTTCAGCTTGTTTTGCATGGCTTTTAACATTGCTCCAACTCATACTGTAGTTCATATTTTTGAGGATTGGCTAAGAGGACAAAGTGGGGTCTAGTCTCCAATTTTGCTCAACATTTGACTAACAGAAATTATCTGATCCTGTGAAGGTTGGAGATTACAAATGGAGCTCGGGCGCCATATAGCCCGAATTTTGAAAATTTCAAAAATTATCATTTTATGTTTCAATAATTATGAAAAAACTTACACATGTATATAGGGATGTATACTACATGTTTGCAAAGTTTCATGATGAAATATGTTTTGATGTGAGCTGCACAAAAAAATAAAAACAAAGTCATGAATTTCTAGCAACATGTACTATTCACTGAAGAAGTTGATGATTTTTCTTTTGTAGATCACATCAAGGCGTATTTCATTATGAAAATTTACATACATTAATTATACATCCATCTCTGTGTGTGTGCTTGTTTAAGAAAATGAGACTTAGAAAATTGGTTTTTGATTTTGCGAAATTTCGAACTCCATGGGACTTGGGAGCCAAAAATTCTCGCTCATGTAAGGCATTTTCAATCGGCACGCTGGTAAAGAGATATGACAAGATATTCCAAATCTGGATTGTAGGAACATACCTATATGGTCAAGGAAGGATCCTAGTGTGCCTGATCGACTTTCCCTTAAATCTGATACATATTTCCTGTAAGAACAAACAGAAAGTAAGTTATCAGTGCTTCGAACTGATGGCCCAAAGATTTGGCATGAAGATAGCTGATAACCAGCTTGCAATGCATGCTGATTGTTGTGGTGAGGGTAATATTAACAAGTATAGTTTACTAACATTTTAAGAATGTCTACAAAATGACACACAATTGGGTGCGTGTTCGAGAAAAAACAGTATTTGTTTATTATGTTATTTACTGCTTTCTCCTACATGATAACAAAGCCAACCAAACCTGCTTCACAAATATGCAACAGTGCAATACCCACTATCATCCTCGATGGACCAAGTAATCGCTTCAACTGACTATTTAGCGGCGGTGTAAATACTACAACATATCTCCCCGACATAGGTTACCACAGTATATGGTTGAACAGAGCAAAACATAAATCAAAATATTTCAAAGATTTCTCAGAAGTTGTATCAAGACATTAACTATCAAATTTATGCACAAACTGACAGTCTGACACAACCATTTATCTGTAAAGTAAGAAGTCAATACGTACCATCCGTCTGCATCATGTTGCTCATAATTTGTCACTGTGTCTTCCAGTTCAAGGGCTTCCATGACAGAAGTCGTATATTTGCTGCAAACAATCAAGTACGGTTAAATAGTTACAATTAAGAGCAGCAAAAATATGGTCTGGAATTGTACAGAAAATGAGCGCAACAAAATTGTACAAGGGTGTGAATTTTATTTTCGAACTTTAGGAGTTGTTTGCAAGAATTTAATCATAAATGCACACTAAAAGATACTAAGATGTGCTAGTTTAGCATATTGTACCTTTTACACCTACAGTACTCCTCATGAGCTATCCTAAGTCGACGTCGAAGTGCAGCCATCGTTTTCTCGTCAGTATCATAATCCATATCATTTTCTGCTAGTTTGTTTCCACCAGAAAGCTTGAACAGTGGGTCATCTCTCAGCTGAAGAAATAGATTTGAGCTTGTGAGTTATTATGAATAATTAAAATATGTAAATATCAATTTATAGCGGTACCTGGGCATCCATACCATTTGAGCTAGCATATTATCAATAATATCCATAAAAGGCCTTAGTGGGTCACGCTTGGACATTTGTTTTGATGTGGCTTGAACAACCTTAGACAAGGAAAGGAACATGCCTTAAGAAGAATGCAATAATCATGAGATGACAGTTTAAGAACCCAGAGAAGTACATACAGTGATTGCGTTGCAATATTCTTGGCGAGCATTATCAAGTTTTACAGTCATCTTTGCAACCATGTGAGAGAGAATTTTTTGACGGCGAGTCCAATCAGCATTTCTCCATATATCCTTTGGAATTTCGCTCAAGCCAAAACCAAGAAGAAAGGCACCTGTCACTAGTCCAAAGGTATTTGAGCATGCCATAGCAAAGCCCAAGATAGCACCACCCCTGCAAACAATAGCATTCTTTCAGCGAAGAAAAAGTTGAACCTATTCTCCGATGATCACAAATTGGAATGAAGACATGAAAACAATTGGTGAGAAGAATTGAAATAGTTCAAACTGGATAAAGTTCAGACTGAAGAAGTTATAATACAGTTCCTATTTGTTCCACTAGAGCAGACCCAAACAGCTCAAATCAAAAATCTCACATATGTCTGAACTACACACAGATATTAGATGGGTCGTACAATATGTAAGCGCAGTTGAGACACGAAAAATGAGTACATACCAATCATGATGCATGATTATAATCAAAACTATTCCAAAAAAGCCGATAGATCCCACAATTTCATAATAGAGCAAGTTCGCTCGGATACTGGTTTTCAGCCTTTCTTTAACTGTGAAATCTCCAGCATCCTCATAGCCTTTAATGGTAGGAATGATAGCCCTGTTCAGATGAACATAATTTGACATGAGAATTAGTGTTGTATTTAGACAAACAACATAACTACTGGAAAGAGAGTTCTGCAAGAAAAAGGGGCTCCACCCGAAAAACATCGGAAATGTTAACGCCCACACGTGTGGGCGTTTGCATCTCGCCCACACGCGTGGATCTGCGTCCGTTCGTGAGCGCACGAATCTTGGCATATTTCTAGTGCCACGTAGGACAGGCCTGGTGTGTGGGCGTTCAGCCGGTCGCCCACACGGCCGTTTCACCACATAGGAGGGGCTGGTGTGTGGGCGTTCAGCAGTTCGCCCACACGCCACTTTGCACGCACACACAAGGGCTAGTGTGTGGGCATTTGCCATCTCGCCCACACGCCCGTCTCCTCTCCCACACCCAAGCTGCTAGTTGCCATGTGTTTTGCAGTGCACATGGCAACTGCCCCTAGTGTGCTTTATAAGCAGGTGGCAACTCTCTTTTTTTATCCGAGTTTGCCATGTGTTTTGCAGGGTACACGGCAACTGCCTAGTGTGCACGTAAGCAGATGGCAACTCTCTTTTACCGAGTTGCCATATGTTTTTGCACGGTACATGGCAACTGCCCTAACGTGCATGTACATGGCAACTGCCCTAACGTGCACGTAAGCAGATGGCAACTCTTCCTTTTTACATGGCAACTGCCCTAGCATGCTTGTGAGCACATGGCAACTCATTCAACTGCCTAGTGTTAGTATGTGGCAACTCCTAAAGTTATGAAATCATGGCAACTACATTAGATCAGACCATACATGGCAACTGCAGTTGAGCAACCATGGCAACTGCAGTTGTCCGACATGGCAACCGTAGTTCAGCGACATGGCAACTGCAGTTAAACGAACATGGACGAGGGTCTGGACCATGGCAACTGCGGGCGCGCGGTGACCGTCACGCGTGGCGTGCGGGACCAGGAGGTACGAGGCCTGACATACGGGCGTGTGTGCGTTATCAACTTCGCCCACACGCACGCGTGTGAGAGGGATCGGGAGGGAAAAAAAGAGGCGTGTGGGCGCTAGTTGTTTTGCCCACACATAGGTGTGTGGGCTGTTCCTCTTATACACCACACAAAATGTGTGGGTGGACTCCCTAACGCCCACACGTGTGGCACTTATCGGCGTCCAAAAACATTGTGCAATTAGGCAGATGAGGTAAGTACCTATAATCGGAATCGCGCAAATTAAGGAGAAAAAGAGCAACATCAACAAAAAGAATGACAGGATTTTGTCATGCTGCCTACGATAATACTCCATTGAGACCAGCTCCAAAAGAATTTAAGGGATGTCCAACAGTCAATATAATATGCAGTCATGTTCAGATAAGGATGTAATATAGTTAAGTTGACCGAAATGTTTGGTCAAATCATTAAACTACACAAACCAACGAAGAAGCGTGCGCTCAAGAAGGCTAAGCATATGTGCCATTGACCGATTCGGCAATTGAAAACCAAGGCAGCAGTTTCAGACCTTACATGTCATGAAAATGACACTTCAAGTTTTCACCTCATCATTTTCTCGAAAAAGTTTTCACCTCATCATTAGCCAGTTAGCGCACGAGTCAACACAAGTTATTGTGATCAGTAGCATACCATGCTAGGACAAACGAGCTCCAATAAGACCAGCTCCAAAAGAATCCGACGTCACCCTTTTGGTTGCCGGTAATTGTCTGTAGTCAGGTAATGGAATAGGAGATCAGAACACAGAACAATAGTAGAATAGAAGAGTCTACATCAGTAACCATGTATGAGTACAATGTAACAACAGCACGGCATTTTGCCTGCCTTCACATTACAATTCTATCAAGAATAAATCCGTACCTGTTCTAAAAAATATACATATATACCAACTGTAACGACGAATTTTTTGGGGGTAAATATCTGAAGTTGGAGGACCAGGGCAAACTCCTTAATCCACAGCGTTACGGATGTGAAACCCCATTTCACGCTTGCAAGTTTCAGCACAAACATCACAAACACGCCGACGAACCGCGACACCCCGCATTCTCACTTCTACGCCAACACGCCATGAATGGACTCACGATTCACGAACGCTGGCGGCTCATAAAAAATCTCTGTTCTACAGCGCACCACAGTACCCAATTCCATGCCACTTCCCAGACCGGCAGTTGATGATGCCGAATCCGCACGCACGGGCAGGAACAACCTAGTTTCTCGATTCGCCGGAATGTCAATTACCAACTACAGTAGCAATCGCACAGCGACACCGAGCGAGGAGCAGCAAGCAAGCAAGCAAACCGAGATAGAGGAGGCGGCGCCGGGATCGCACCGTGTAGATGTCGGTGGGGACGAGGATGACGAAGGAGAGGGAGCAGAGCCAGGCGTAGCCGACGGTGGCGAGGACGTGGAGCGGCACGGCGGGGCCGGCGAAGTAGCGCAGCGTGGCCGCCACCATCCCCACCGTCAGCGGCAGCGCTATCAGGTAGAAGACCCACATCTCGCCGCCCCGCTCCTCCCACCGGCCGCCGCCTCGTCTCCCGTGCGTCGTCGATGGGCGGAAAGCGGAGAGGCCGAGCGGGAGGGACGAGGTCGGTGGTGCGGCGTGGCGGGGAATGAAAAGGAAGGAGGCCGCCGGTTAAAAAGCGTGGGCGCGGAGGCAGCTCGAGGGAGGAGTTGGTGGGGCCGGACCGGTTCAGCGGCCTACGTGGCCCGGAGTGGGCCCGATTCCCCGGCCCGCTGAGGTAAGCACGCTGCACACCCACGCGCGCGCGCAGCCCCTTTCCTTTTGGACTTGGACCGCTTCCCGGTCGCCTCCTCCTCCCTCCACCCGGGCCGCGTCCAAAAGAAAGCTACCGACGAGCAAAATGTCCTGGCCCAATCAACCTTGCAGGAAAAACCATACTACTACTGACGCAGTCATCCTAATAAGTACTCTGCGTACGGTCGTTCTCGGGTAATTTGGCGGAGCAATTAACAAGTGTTTTCGCTAACACGGACCGCGTCAAGAAGAACACGGTGGTTGTTGCTCGCTGCAGGACGGAAGGTACGGTGCTCGGTGCATCATCATTCATCGCCCCGGCGTAAGTTGACAATCCGAACGCATGCTCGGCTAGTCGGCTGCGGACTGAATCAACATGTATGCACAGATATACTACTGTCTATCTCAAAAAGAGAAAAATGCATATACTACTGTCAAGCTGGTTGGTTTCACCAACCTGTTATTACTTATTAGCAGTAAGGAAAATTAAGAGATGACTTTGGATGTCTGGTCTTGAGTCGTGAGGGCAAAACTGCAACCATCAGTCACTCGTAGGCATCGTTTGGCGCTATGGTCAGGTGTTGGTCATTCAGATTAGTAAAGGTGCCTCTAGCTAAACACGCTTGTCCGTAGTTTTCTAGGCGACTCTGGTCCATGGTTTATAGCATGCATGGAAACAGAAACACTAAACGGATCTTAACGTATGAAGGCTTGACCCGGGTTTGGGCTAATCTCCCTTGTTTTGGTATTCTGTTGCAACTTTGTGGCGGTTTCTTGAAGGGAAACCGATTATGGGGCATGTTGGTTAAAAAAAAAAACATATGAAGGTTTCAATGAGGCCCGCCAAATGAATGCAAATTTCTCCCTTATAGCGAGATGGCGTTCTCATATTTGGCACGCGTACCTCACCACGCCCGCTACGTATAGAATTTGGGCCTGCCCAAACTAGCTCAATTTTGGTTTTGAGAAGGCTGTAGAACCTTCCCAGATCATTTATTTTGTTTCTCCTTGCGGGTTTTCTTTTTCTTTTTCATTTTTTGTCATTTCTTTCTTTTTACCTTTTTCATTTTTATTTTCTTAATTCATTTTTATTATTTTTCTTTGATTTTCTAAAATCAGTGAACAAATTTTCAAATCGGGCTGGGTATTTGCCGAATTAAAAAAATCGTCCTATTTTTGAAATTGTGAATATTTTTAAAATTCATAAACATTTTTCAAATCAGGGTGGACATTTTTTGATTTCAACATCTGTTCGTCGAATTCAAAATATGTTCATCATATTTCTGTAAATGCGATCATTTTTCAAATTCATGAGCATTTTTCGAATTTCATGAACATTTATTAAATTGTGTACATTTTTTGGAACTCGCAAACAAGTTTTTTGCACAGGAGAACATTTTTGTAATTAAGGAACAACTTTTGGAATTCAGAAACATTTTTTTGTTTTTGATGACATTTTTAAATTCTTGATTTTCTTGAATCAGTGAACATTTCTAAATTCGGGAATTTTAAAAATTGTGGAGCAATTTTTAAAATTCCTGACCATTGTTTTCAATATTTTAAACATTGTTAACAAACCAGTTTAAAACATGATTTTTTTAAATCACACATTTTTATAAAATTGATAAAAAAAATTGAATTCACTATTTTTCCAAATTAAAGAGAATTTTTTAACATAATACACATTTTTTAAACCGATTTTTTTGGATTTTTAGAACATTTGTACACAATTCACTTTTTTTGGAACTAGTAATTTTTTTAAATTCCTAATTATTCCAAAGAAGAAGAATAGAAACAGAAAAAAGCAGCAAAAAAATGAAACCGAAAAACTGGGTGTCGTCCAGCCCCGTCTAGATGCCCTGGAGGAGGCGAGCTGCTGCGAAGCACAGACAATGCACGCTGCGGCATGTGGCGCACAATGCTGCTGAAAGGATCGATATGATTGACTAGAGGGGGGTGAATAGGCAACTAACAATTTTTAACTTTTCTTTACCAAATTAAACTTTGCATCAAAGTAGGTTGTCTAGATGTGCAACTAGGTGAGCAACCTATATGATGCAACATCAACGAACACACAAGCAAGCAAGAGAAGTAACACTAATAAACTTGCACAAGTAAAGGTAAAAGATAACCAAGAGTGGACCCGGTGAAGACGAGGATGTGTTACTGAAGTTCCTTCCTTTTGAGGGAAAATACGTCTCCGTTAGAGCGGTGTGGAGGCACAATGCTCCCCAAGAAGTCACTAGGGCCACAGTATTCTCCTCACGCCCTCACACAATGCGAGATGCCGTGATTCCACTATTGGTGCCCTTGGAGGCGGCGACCGGACCTTTACAAACAAGGTTGGGACTATCTCCACAACTTAATCGGAGGCTCCCAACAACAGCACGAAGATTCACCACAATGGACTATGGCTCCGTGGTGACCTCAACCGTCTAGGGTGCTCAAACATCCAAGAGTAACAAGATCCGCTAGGGATTGGTGGGGGAATCAAATTTCTCTTGGTGGAAGTGTAGATCAGGGCCTTCTCAACCAATCCCGAGCAAATCAACAAGTTTGATTGGCTAGGAAGAGAGATCGGGCGAAAATGGAGCTTAGAGCATTAATGGAGCTTGGAGGTGGAAGAGGTAGTCAACTAGAGGAAGAAGACACCCCTTATATAGTAGAAGAACAAAGCCAACCGTTATTCACCAACTCAGCCTGCGCAACGCGATACTACCGTACCAGAGGCGCGGTACTACCGCAGGGGCACGCGGTACTACCGCAGAGCCCCGCGGTACTACCGCACACGCAGCAGAGACCAGAATAGCCCAAAATGCACTAAGGCAGAGGGCGGCAGTACTGCTGGCATGGTACTACCGCGCCCCCTTGCGGTACTACCGCAAGGCAGGGATTGATCAGAGATGGGAAGGAACGGATATAATAAATTACATCCGTGGCTACTTCCGCAGAGTTGGAGTCGATGCAAAAACCCGACGCGGTAGTACCATAAGCCAGCAGCGATACTACCGCGCTAGGCGCGGATGAAAAAATTTTCATCCGCCCCTTACCGCCGCATACTTGCGGAACTAAGCCAGATACCACGGTACTACCGTGCCCAGTGCGCGGTACTACCGTGATGGGTGCCACCCACTAGGGAGAGGGTGACAACATCTGGACTCCAGCCACAGTACTACCGCTTGACAGGATGTGGTACTACCGTGGGCGCTTGCGGTACTACCGCTCTGAGGAGCAGTACTACCGCACACCCTAGTTCAGCAAGCACGAGCAATATTCGCATAGACAAGGAAAACATAGGATGCTCCAAAGGCTAGAAGAAAAGGAGGTACAAAGGAAGATGTGTACGTGATGAATCCACCCACCCTTTTCGACACGGACCCCCTCTTAATAGTACGGCTTCCCTACGACTCAATACCACCAAAAAGAAACGTAGAGAAATGCCATCTTCCATAGCCTTCGAGGGGAACCAACTCATCTTGTGCCTAGTCAATATATATCTGAAATATTCGATGCACATGATTAGTCCGCAAAAATATTGTCATCAATCACCAAAACCAACTAAGGGATAAAATGCCCTTACAATCTCCTCCTTTTTGGTGGATTGATGACAACACGGGATTTGCACAAGAGTATAATGCAAAGAGCAAGGGCAAACCCCAAGTCTCTAAAATATAGACGGGCTCCCACTAGATGTGTGCTATCTCGATGAGTGCTTTGGACTGCACGGCACACATACTAGGATCAACACTCCCCCTATATTTTATAGACATGGCATATCTTGCAATAAGGCTAAAACTAAGCAAGTGTAACACCCTCGATGCGACTATATCTCCCACGTGTCGAGGCACGACTTAGAGGCATAATCGCATTGAAGGCATATGTCGCAAGTTAGGCAATCTTCACAACATCCCATGTAATAAGATAATAAAGGGGAGATAACATAGTTGGCTTACACTCGCCACGTCAATCAAGTACATAAATAACATTACATCATCCAAACACTCATGGCCCGACTACGGCGCCAAAATAAAAGAGAACCCAACATGCGACAACGGTCCCGTTCACCCCCAACTGGGCACCACTACTGATCATCAGGAAAGGAAACATAGTAACATTGAGAGTCTTCGTCGAACTCCCACTTGAGCTCAAGCGCATCACCTGGAGCGGAATCATCAGGCCCTGCATCTGGTGTAATAGTAATCTGTGAGCCACAGGGACTCAGCAATCTCGCACCCTCGCGATCAAGACAATTTAAGCTTATAGGTAAGACAAGGTAAATATAAGTGGAGCTGCAGCAAGCGTCTAAGCAAAACATGGTGGCTATCCTGTTCGCAAAAGAGAGCGAGAAGAGGGGGTAAAGCGCGAGCAAGAAAATAGAGAACAACCTGCGCAAACATTACTCCAACGCCGTGTCCACTTCCCGGACTCCGCCGAGAAGAGGCCATCACGGTAACACACTCAGTCGATTCATTTTAATTAAGTTAAGGTTCAAGTTATCTACAACCGGACATTAACAAATTCCCATCTGCCCATAACCGCGGGCACGACTTTCGAAAGTTCAAATCCCTGCAGGGGAGTCCCAACTTAGCCCATGACAAGCTCTCATGGTCAACGAAGGAATAGACCTCCTCCCAAGACGTTCCGATCAGACTCGGTATCTCGGTACTTCAAGACAACTCCGACAATGGTAAAACAAGTCCAACAACACCACCCGCTGTGCCGACAAATCCCGATAGGAG